TTGGTGGGGTGAGAAGCAGCAAGCTATATTCGACCAACTCAAAATCGCCCTTACGTCCCCGCCCGTACTTCGCATCTCCGATCCCAACCGTCCATACGAAGTCGTCACCGACGCCAGCGACATCGCCATCGGTGCAGTTCTACTACAGGATTTCGGCGACGGGTTACAACCGGTCGCCTACGAATCACGGAAGCTGCAAGGCGCGGAGAAAAACTATACAGTGCACGACAAGGAGATGCTGGCGATCGTCCACGCGTTCAAGACCTGGCGGTGCTACCTGACCGGAGCTGACGTCACGGTGCGGACGGACCACAAATCCTTACAGTACCTGCGCGCCCAACCGAATCTCAACCCACGACAGATTCGATGGCTCGATTTCCTCGAGTCCAACTTCCACTACACCATCACCTACAAACGAGGTGCCAATAATATCGCCGATGCCTTGACCCGCCCTACAGTCCATACCGCCGCGATACTAATCGCCCAGACCAACCCATTACTTACGGGACTCTTCACCCACGGCTACAAGATTGATCCCTTTTTCCGCTCAGCCATCCATCAACAGCAAACCACAGCCACCGGGCCATATTTTTATAAGCATGGCACTTCTCGCATTTGGGTACCCGGCTACGATTTACTTCGTACCCTCCTAATCCAGGAATCCCACGACAACCCTACCTCAGGACATTTCGGCGTCGATAAAACCACGAAGATGTTGCAGCGGAATTACTACTGGCCAAACATGACCGATGACGTGCGCAAGTACGTGTCCTCCTGCACTGCCTGCCAGATCATGAAATCGTCGCATCAGCGAGCAGCCGGACTACTACAGCCGTTGGATCCACCCGAGCGACCCTGGCAACACGTTACGATGGACTACGTGACAGGACTGCCGGCCGGCCCCAGCGGAAACGACGCCATCCTCGTGGTCGTTGACCGACTCACAAAAATGGCGCACTTCATCGCCTGCCAACAGACAATCACTGCCGAACAAACTGCGCAACTGTTCATCGCGAACGTCATCCGACTGCACGGACTGCCCTCCGCCATCATTTCAGACCGCGACCCAAAATTCACATCGAATTTCTGGCGCCACCTGTGGGACCAGTTCGGCACCAAACTCCAATTTTCATCCGCCTACCACCCACAAACCGACGGGCAGACCGAACGCGTTAACCAAACCATGGAGCAGCTCATTCGCACTACCTGTACTGACCCCTCGACATGGGAGAAATCTCTACCGCTACTCGAATTCGCGTATAATAATGCGACCTCAGCTACAACCAATCACTCCCCATTTTTCCTCAACTATGGACAGGACCCGGTAGTACCCTCTACACCGAACATCGAGTCACCAGTGCCCCGGTCCCATAAATTTGCTGAAGACATTCTCGCCACTCGCGAAAAAGCAGCTGAGGCCATTCGGAAAGCTAACCTAGTTGCAAGCCGACAAGCCGATCGACATCGACGCGACGTCATTTACAAAGTGGGCGATCTGGTCCTCCTCGACACCCGCAATTTGCGGCTGCCGATCCCGAGCAAACTCCGACCGAGATTCTGCGGACCTTTTCAAGTGACCAACCTCGTGACACCTGTCACTGTACACCTTCGGCTACCGGCTGATTGGCGCCATCACCCGGCTTTTCACGTCAGTCTTCTCCGACCCTACGTCCCGAGTTCGTCGGACTTGGCACGCAACCGTGGAGTACCGCAACTGACGCCTCTGCAGGAACCGACGACCGAGCCCTTGAAAATTCTCGGCCATCGCATCACCACGCAGCTTAACCGTCGGATGGTTGATTTCCTCATCCGCTGGCGCGATCGCACGTCCGAAGACGACAGTTGGGTGCCCCTCACTGACCTAGAATCACATCCGATTCTAACGGCATATTACCAGCGTCGGCAGGTCCCCGATGCCCACGGCCTCGTTTAGGAGGGGGGGATAGTGTAAGGAATTTCCATTCCTTACTGAGTCGGTCGCTACCGCGTACACCCGAACACTTCGACTCGTCACGTTCGGCCTACATTTTCGGCCCAACCTCTTCTCGAGTCGCGCCCGACAGCGTCGCCACATTGTCGAACCTAACCACGTCCCGAGGTTATCGCCCTATTACGTCCACTCCTATATAACCTCGTGCTTTCATGGCAATAGTGACGTTGTATTCAGACATTCTAGTACATTGACATTTTCTGAATCATAACAGCAAGTTCACCCATAACACTACTTCGCCACTTGTAACTCCTGGTAAATTTCTCCAAGCCGCAGAAATATCACTTTTCCCGTCGCGGCGCACACGGCACGTGTCATCTTCTGTTTTGACTTGTGGCACAGCGACGGCTCTCATCACTTCGTCCCTGCAACACCACACCCTGCGTTCCTGGGATGGCTGACGTGTCGGCAAACTCACAACCCTCGTGGTTGCTGCCTGCGTGGCAGTGCCACGTACGTTTCAATCTATGAGGCAGGTAGAGCCCATCGTGACAACCATCCGAACTTTTTCCACAGGTGGCACAAGATGCCCAGGCAACACGGCCAAGACTTTGCCGCGTGGCGTCGACTTGTCGGCATCGAGGACCACCTTATCCTACCTTTACGACAGCCGTGCTTCTCGCCTGACGATGGCATACCTGGCATGAGCGTTGGTTCTCCACCATCAGAGCCAACAGCAGAGCAACCACTCACAGCCCCACACACATCTGTGCGGCTAGGGTTGGGATCACAGGGTGGTTTATACCATCCATCAGACTCGTTTCAGACTAAGCGAGAGCATTCCCATTTTTGTTAGCACATTCTTGCACAAGGTCGACAGACTACCACAGCACAATGGCCGCTGCGCTGTCTTCCTCTGTCTCGTGTGGTTCCTTCGTGGCCGCTCCCACTGCGTCCCTGAAGAAGGATGCCGTCACTGTGGGCGTCGCCCCTCTTGTCGCCCCCGCTGTTGGCAAGAGCCTCGTGAGTCTCGTTAAACTCTCAGCTACAGTGGTCCAGACTAATAATTTAGCGTTTTTGTAACCGTCTGCCGTGGTCAGTAAATAGTCGTATCGCTTCAGTTTTAATTTCTCGGTGTGTTTCTATTTCTCTTGCAATTCTGTTGCAGAGCGTCTGCAAGAGCTCTTTGGCTGGCCAGGCCCTGAAGTCCCGCGCCGTTGCCGTCTCCTCCTCCAAGACTGCCTCTAGGGCAGTTGTGAAGGCTGAGATTGGCGACTCACTGGTACGTTGTGACGTTCTCATTTCCGACGCTGCAACCCATTGGATAGGATTCTACAGACCCAATTTATATATATATTTTTGTCGCTGCAGGAGGAGTTCCTTGCCAAGGCTACCCCTGACAAGGGTCTGGCCCGCCTTCTCGTATGCATGGGTGAGGCTCTCCGCACCATTGCCTTCAAGGTCCGCACTGCGTCTTGCTCCGCCACGTCCTGCGTGAACACCTTCGGTGATGAGCAGCTCGCCGTCGATGTGCTCGCTGACAAGCTCCTGTTCGAGGTACGCCCTTGGGATACATCACACAACTTATTTCTTTACCTCCGAGGTTTCATGCGCTGAGATGATTTTCCATTTTCTCTTATGCGATTCAGGCTCTCAGGTTCTCCCACGTCTGCAAGTATGCTTGCAGTGAGGAGCAGCCCGATCTCCTCGACATGGGTGGCCCAGTTGAGGGTAAGTTGCCCTCCGTCTCTCGCTTGCTCGTGTCCGCTTATTCCATTTTCATGGCAGCGCCTCCCATTGTTCCTTAAATGCATTCCCCTTCTCATTTTCGTGCAGGTGGCTTCAGCGTCGCCTTCGATCCCCTTGATGGTAGCAGCATTGTCGACACCAACTTCACCGTCGGCACCATCTTCGGCGTCTGGCCCGGTGACAAGCTTACCGGCGTTACCGGCCGTGACCAGGTTGCCTCCGCCATGGGCGTTTATGGTCCCCGCACCACCTACATCATTGCCGTGAACGGCTTCCCAGGCACCCACGAGTTCCTCCTGATGGACGATGGTACGTCGCAGAAGCTTTTACATTGCGAGTTGCCGAGTCAGCTTTGCAGCTTAAACGTGCTCGTCTGTGTCGTATGTTTGGACGCTCATAGAATTAAACTCCCTGGCAGGCAAGTGGATGCACGTGAAGGAGACCACCACAATTGGTGAGGGCAAGCTGTACGCTCCCGGCAACCTGAGGGCCACCTTCGACAACCCCGAGTATGAGAAGGTAAGCAACGAAAACACGTGACGGATGAAAAATGCGTTTTTCTTGGCACTTATTGAAGCAAAAATACCGACTTGTAATGCGTTGTCTGCTTCCCTTGTACGTTTGTTTCCTTGCAGCTCATCAACCACTACGTCGGCGAGCAGTACACCCTCCGTTACACTGGTGGCATGGTGCCCGATGTTGGTCAGGTTGGTCCCACTGCATCGTCCCTGGATGTTCGTCTGATGTTTCGTCGTCAGCCTTCTGACAATTTGTTTTTCCCCTCTGCAGATCCTCATCAAGGAGAAGGGTGTGTTCACCAACGTCACCTCTCCGTCCACCAAGGCCAAGCTCCGCCTTCTCTTCGAGGTTGCTCCCCTTGGCCTGCTCATTGAGAACGCCGGCGGTTACAGCAGCGACGGTTTCATCTCGGTGCTGGATAAGCCTATCACCAACACTGATGTCCGCACACAAGTGTGCTATGGCTCCCGCAAGGAGGTGCAGCGATTTGAGGAGACGCTCTACGGCAAGTCGCGTCTGTCTGCCTCTGTCTCCGCCTAAATCATTGGTGTTTCCCTCTAGTAAAATTATATTTACAATTGATTTTGAACAACAATCTTTCCATGTCACCATATGAAGACAGTACAGGAGCAGGTGTGATGTATCACTAACCAACAGATCTGATGTAAGGCCCCTCCCGTTCCAAGGGTACAAGGGTTCAAATCTAATCCACATGAAAATTCATTTCTCCAAGAAATGCCCCCACCAGTGAACAGTTTCGAGCATCTGGAGAAGCAAAACGTAGCAACATGTGCACCATCCTACGCCAAAGTTCATCAAAGCTAGACAATCATATACACAAGCTGATTTGCATGACAGCAACAGGGCTCCAACACCATTACCAAAACGCATGAGTCCGATACCAAAAGCATGGCTCCATCAGCCCACCCTCCCCATAGCGCCAGGAAACACAAGAGATGCTGCCCCGAGCAGATCCTCATTACAGCGGCGGTGCTCCAACACCATTGCCAAAACGCATGAGCCCGATGCCAAAAGCATGGCTCCATCAGCCCACCCTCCCCATGGTTCGGCCGTGGCCAGTCATCCATGGGGCTGCACTACTGGCGCCCGGGTTCACCATGCCTTGCGCAGAGGTGAGCAGTGAGTCAAACTCCACCATCATGCCTGCTGCTGCTGCTGCTGCTGCTGCTGCCGCCTCACACACCACTCCCTTACCATACACGGCACCCATTCCGCCACCCTCACCACTGACTCCACCCACCACTCCCTCCTCCTCCAGCTCATCCTCTCCCTCTCCCTCACTCCCACTCGCATGCTCCTCCTCATCTTCTCCCTCCTCTTCCCCCCCTTCCTCCTCTTCCTCCTGCTCCTCCTCTCCCGAGTCGTCGCCGCCCCTCTCCAGCTCCTCACTCCTCTCTTCGCTCCCCCTCCCTCCGCCCCTTCCGCTCTGCTGCCTCCCCGCAAGATCCAGTGGGGTGCGCAGCAGCAGTGGCCCCTCCTGCTGAGTGTGCAGCGGAGAAAGCAGCTCCAGTGGTTGCAGTTGCAGTTGCACTCCCGCGCCTGCCTCCGTCCCATCGCCACCCTCACTCTGTGCAGCACCAGCAGCGGCACCAGCAGGAGAAGCAGCAGCAGCAGCGGCGGCAGCGGCGGAGAGTTGTGCGTGGGCGTGGGCGACGCTGCGCTGGAGCGCCTGCTGGCAGCGTTGCAGGCGGCGGATGGTGTCCTGGGCCTCGTGGAGGCGACGCTGCGCGCTCGCGTTGTCCACCTGCAGAGACGCCGACAGCACCTCCAGCTCCTCCAACCGCTCCTGCCGTCGCTTGCGCGACCTCTTGGCTGATGCACGGTTGGACATCATTCTGCAGGGGGGAGAGGGAGAGGGGGGGAAGAGAAAGGGGGGAATGCAGTGTGAGGGGGTGAGATGAAGGTGCAGCAGGAAGTGAGTGAATGGGCAACAAGAGCATCCATTGTGGCACGGTAAACAGCAAAGGAAGCATCAATAAAAAAGCCGACAGCTGTCTTGAACAAGGAAAAAACATGGAACTAAACATGGAAAAAAACAAGGAGAAGCATGATAGAGCTTGTTATCATGCTGCCGAGCAGCAGCAGGGCAACATCCCACCTCTTGACCTTCTTGTCGTCCGGAGCCATATGCCCCATCAATCCAGGGTACGCAGCTCCCATGGACAGTCCCACGCGGCCGGGCACGCCCGTGGTGGTAACCACACTCGTGGGGGAGAGGAGCGGCGGGGCAGCGGCGAGGTGAGCGCCCGTGGGCAGGGTTAGCGCCATGTGCGGCTGGGGGCGAGGCACATGCGGCTGGGCGGGAGGCACGTGCTGCTCTGCTTGCTGAAACATTGTCCCAACTGCTGACCCTCCTGCTGCTGCTGCTGCTGCTGCTGCTGTAGTCGTGGGAGCCCATGCCGTTGCTTGCAACGGCTGTTGCTGCATCTGCAATGCATGCGGTGGCCGGGGATCCACCTGTGCCGCGTGGTTCGCCTGCTGCTGCTGCTGCTGCTGCACGGCGTTGGAGAGCAGTGCCAGCAGGTGCGACGACCTGCCTCTGCGCGCGTCGTCTCCCCGCACAGCAGCAGTGCGCGCTACCCCGCCTCCTCCCCCTCCGCCTGCGCGCTTCCCCGCCTCTCCTTCCGGCATCTGCGGCCTAGTAGGCTCCTCCTGCTGCGGCGCGGGGGGGGGCAGCTGCAGCCCCGCCTGCGCCTGAACTTGCGCCTGCGCCTGGGCCGGGTCGGCGGAAGGCGGCGCTCGAGCGGGAGCCATGGCGTAGCCGTTGCCTGCCCATCTGCGGAAGGAGGGAAGGCGACGGGGGCCGGGAAGGGGGGGGGGGGGGGTGGGGGAAGGGATGTGCATGGATTGAGAATGGATTACTCATTAGTAATGAGTACAATAATAGTGCAATGCCGGGTATTCTACGTGGATAGGGCAACGACGGAGGGAAGACCAACGGGTCGAGGAAGGGCAGCCATTTGGAAGAGACAAAGCCCGCTCCGAGAGATTGGACGAAAGGAGGCGATTGGAAGCAAGGAGGCGATTAGAAGAAAGGAGGAGATTGGAATAATGAGAGTCGGAGAGCGAGGAAGGGAGGGGAGATCAGCAAGGGGAGTGGAAGTACATGAAAGTTGTTGGCCCCTGCGACTCGCGCTGCTGCTCCCACTGAAGCCGGTAGTCCGCCCATGCCTCTTGCTGCTCCATCAGCTGCTGCTGCTCCATCAGCTGCTGCTGCTCCATCAGCTGCTGCTGCTCCTCCCGTTGCTGCTGCTGCTGCTGCTGCTGCTGCTCCTGCTGCAGCCGTTGCAGCCGTTGCTGCCGCTGTCGGCTGAGCAGAAGGTCCGTGACGGTCGTCGCAGAAGCAGCAGCAGCGCCGCCGGCCGCCATCGTCGCAGTCGCGAAGCGTCCGTCCGCGGGAAAGAGCTCGTCTGCTGTCGCTGTCGTTGCCGCCGTAGCCCGCGGCAGCGCTCCGCCGACTCCCCACGAATCCCACTCCGCGGGCGCGTCACTCGCTGCAGCCGCAACGCCGCTCGCTCCGAGTGCGGCAATGGCGGGCCTCAGGCACATGTTCAGGCAGAACAGTGGTAGTGGTGGTGCTGCTGCCGCGCACCCGTTTGTATAAGACAGAAGGTTAGTATTTATCGTTTGCTAGCTGCTGCTGCTGTTGCTGTTGCTGCTGCTGGTGCTGTTGCTGTTGCTGTTGCTGTTGCGTTGCTGCCACCAAATTTGCTGCGTCCCTGCTGCTTCTTTCCTAGCTATTGATTGTTGCAGTTGCGTTTTTCGTTGGTCCTTCCGTCAAATTAGGGTCCGCGAAAGATTGCGTAGCGGGCAAGATTCCTGGAGTGGCGGCAATGTCGCTCAGAGCGTTAATTTCCGGATTCGGGAGGAATGAGCGGAGGGATAACGAGCTTGATTTGCGAGGCCAACTGGTCTTCAGGTGGAGCCTATTGGAACAGCTGCTGTCTGTCAGCAAATAGCGCGGCGAGCAAACAGAATTTTAACGCCCGAGTCTGGTAACGCTCGTGCTATATAGCAATCTAGGTTTGGGTCCGGCTTGGACTCCAAATGTTTCAAGGAAGTGCTGGCTTCGTTCTGAAAAAGCTTAGGGTAGCGCTGGGAAGACAAGACTCGAAACGCGATTGTATCGAATAAAGCCCTTGGGGGTGCTGACTATGCAAGGACAGAATTCACTGGAAACCGATAGGCCAGAGTCCCGCCTCCTCTCGAACTTGTGTGTGAGTATTCTCCCCCCCGCACTTCACCACACCACACGCTCTGGCTCTCTCGAATGACTCGTGCTCTCTGTGCGTGTTGGTGGGATGGCATGGCATGGCAGGGGTAACAAGAGGATCAACAAGAGAACCAATCGCAACAACCCAATTCTGCTTCTGGCGTTTCTTTTCTTCTGACCAGCTCCCCTGCCCCGTCATTCACGCAAAACCTTATCGCTTCCCTCCATTGCTGTTTCTCATTCTCACTCGTCGCGAGCGCATGTAGGGCACTTCCCCAGTATTTTGTTAGATCTCAGCAGCAGATGGCGACAGCCAGAAAAAAAAATGATTTTCCTGCCCATTCCGTCAGGAGGATATCCTGAGCCAGCCAAATAGTGGGCAGCATTTAGCAGCAGCAATTGTGCCGCAGAACCGTAAACATAAGAGATGGAGCGAGGGGAGGGGAGGGAGCCGCCATGGCGAGCCTGACTTGGATCAGTCAAGCCCAAGCAGGCAGAGCAAGCTTGGGCAGGACACCGCAGCAAGGTGGAAACAAATCCGAAGCGCGACATCTTTTGAACGACCCCTCTTCGTTTGACCCCAATCAGGTGCTGAATGGTGATATGCGGCACGGGAGAGAGTGCGCTGTATAATCCAACGGCAAGGATCCTGTGACTGAGACGAACAAACGAAAATCCGGCCGTGGGAATTCACACGTCAGATAAGGAACGGACGAGACTGTGCCTGAAGCGTGGAGTTGCGCACTAAAGCTTTCCACAAGGAAGCATGGCGGGGCAAGCCACACAAGCGAACAACAATGCAGGCGTACAGCTCTGCGAAGGCAGCACGTGACAACCACCCCTCCTCTAATAAGCACATAAGGTCGAACGTGTAATTGACGGTATAGATCTCGCGAACTCTTTGTGTGCGCTGGCAAGTTGGACAGCGCAGATCTGGGCTCGTGTACAGGTGCCTCTTGCACACGCTACTGAGGTGGAGTTTTTTTTTTTTTTTTTTTTTTTTTTTTTTTTTTTTTTTTTTTTTTCTGCCCAGTCATAGCAATTCTTCTTTGTAATATTCGCGCTATAGAGACACAGACTTGATCAGGTACGGGCACATTCTGTTTCGATGTGCCTTTGAGGTGAAGTCTCCTTGAAGCCTATACATCACTCTATAAAAAAAATGTTGGGACACAATGCAATGCCGTGGAATCAGAAGCTGACAGCAGCTTTTAATCAAGGTGAGAGTCTGACGTTGATCGGCTAAAATGTGCCCACACACTTGGGCATGGACCACGGACCATGGTCCATGAACCCTAGCATTTCCTACCATCTTCCCTAGAGGTTATGCCATTTGTACAAGCACACCACCAGGGCCCAAAATTGGTTTTAGGCCACTCTTAGAAATCAGAGTAGGGAAAAAAAAAACCCTGACGGTCAGAGCTAAAAAATATTCTAAGTCTGATTTGTCTAGGAATCTTTTTTGAAGTATTTGCTTTAACGCGATGGGCTAAAATAGTGAAGGCGGGTCCAACTTGAAACCAAGGGAACCTCGATTCTTTCTAAGGGGTTGTTAGCCTTACTCGGCAGAATCAGGACAGTTCCATAACGCAGCTAGCTGTTTAGAGCGAACAAGCGCGAGCACATGATTGGCTAGGAAATTTGTAGGACAGGGTTTCCGAGCTGTCACAGGTCGCAGGTGTTAAAATTATTTAAGTTATATATAATTGATAGGCTTGGTACTTGTTACTGAACCTTACTGTAGAGGGTACAATCCCCTCCTTGTACTCCTCTCTCTTCCTAATCGACTCTCTCCTCTCTCGTCAATCTCCCTAGCTAAACCTCGGCCGCCATCACATGGCGGCCTTCTCCTTGCTTGCTAGTTCAGTTTACGACATGGTAACAGAGCAGGCCGCCCGTCCCGGGCCTGCTCATTACGCTTCCGCTGCGTTCTCGTTGTTACATCTCCGCCGTTGCGGCTTTCCGCCTGCCTGCCGCCGTGGCATCTTTTCCGTGATACCGCGGCGGCCTTTTAGTCCTGCCGTCTAAGCTTCGACGAGCAGCCGTGGCACCGACGCCACGCGGTGTCGGCGTCGTAATGGTGCCGCGGCGGCGTCGTCGAGCTGCAGCCGCCGCGTATCACCTCCGCAGCCGCTGCACATGCAGCCCACCTGCTCGCCAGTAAGCGTCGCGCTAGCAATGGCGCTGCGCTGAAGTCCTGCAGCCCCACCATAGCAGCCCCACCACCTCTCTGTCAAACATGTTTATTGATCATGTTTGTATAGACTGTATAGGGTAACCACCTAGAGGGTACAACATTTAGGTATATGTGCATGTACTCTCTAACTCCATGATGATTCAATTCTAGTTTTGAGATGGTATCACGCATAGGTTTCGACCCCCCCCCCCCCCCCCCCCCCACCTACCGCTTCCGCTCCTCCCGTCGCGTCTCCTAGCCTAGCCTCACCCCTCCTGAGCCCAGTCACGACTCCCCCCCCTAGCCCCGTTGTGCTCCTCTCAGGCCTCGTCGCGCCCCCTTCCAGGGCTTCGTAGCGCCCCTCCAGGCCCCCGTCGCGCCCCTCCTGGGCTCTGTAGCGCCCCTCCTGGGCCCTGTCGTGCTCCTCTCAGGCCCCGTCGCGCTCCTCCCAGGCCCCGTCGCTCTCCTCCCAGGCCCCGTCGCGCTCCTTCCAGGCCCCGTCACGCTCCTTCCAGGCCCCGTCGCGCTCCTCCCAGGCCCCGTCGCGCCCCTTCCAGGGCTTCGTAGCGCCCCTCCAGGCCCCGTCGCGCCCCTTCCAGGGCTTCGTAGCGCCCCTTCTGGGCATTGTCGCGCCCCTCCTGGGCTCGGTCGCGCCCCTCCCAGGCCCCCCGTCGCGCCCCTCCCTGGACCCCCGTCGCGCCCCTCCTGGGCCCCCCGTCGCGCCCCTCCTGGGCCCCCCCTTAGCGCCCCTCCTGGGCCCTGCCGCGCTCCTCCCTGGGTCCCGTAGCGCCCCTCCTGGGCCCCGTCGCGCCCCTCCAGGGCCCTGTAGTGCCCCTCCTGGGCCCCGTCGCGCCCCTCCTGGGCCCCGTCACACCTGCTCGGCCCCGTCGCCCCAGCTCGGCCCCGTCGCAGCCGCTCGGCCCCGTGGCGCCCGCCCGACCCCTGTCGCAGCCGCCCGGCCCCTGTCGCACCCGCCCGGCCCCGTCACGCCCGCCCGGCCCCGTCGCAGCCGCCCGGCCTCGTCGCAGCCGCCCGGCCCCGTCGCAGCCGCCCGGCCCCGTCGCAGCCGCCCGGCCCCGTCGCGTCTGCCTGGCCCCTCGTCGCGCCTGCCCGGCCCCGTCGCGCCTGCCCGGCCCCGTCGCGCCTGCCCGGTCCCGTCGCGCCTGCCCCGGCCCTACATACTTCCTGGTACTGTCCCCCGTTCCCTGCACCGCTTTGCACCCTCCTGCACTTCCCTGCCCCGCCTTGCACCGCATTGCACCTCACTGGACCGCACTGCACCGCACTGCATCGCACTGCACCGCACTGCGCCGCACTGGACCGCACTGCACCGCACTGCATCGCACTGCACCGCACTGCACCGCCCTGCACCGCACTGCACAGCACTACACCGCACTCCACCGTCCTACACTGCCCCTGATGGCTGCTGAGCTTCGTTTTGATGCTGAGGGTCAGCCTCTGGAGTTCGAGGCGTGGTTGGCTGACCTTCGCCGCCACCTCACTGGTCAGCGGCAGGACGGCCACCCGCTTTCTGCCCACCTCGACGGTATGCTCCCCTGCCCTGACCCCCCTGCTGTGCTGCCCGCTGATCCCACGCCCGCTGAGCGCGAGTCCACTGCCGCCGCTGCCCTTGCCCGCTCTGTCTGGCTTTCCCGCGATGCCCTTGCTCAGCTCGCCATTAGCAATGCCCTCCCCCCCCTTGAGCGCCCTCGCTTTAGAACCATTACTACCGCCCAGGCCTACCTTGATGCTGTCATCAAGCGCTATTCTACCCCTCCTGCCGCCTCAGTGGGTCGCCTGATCCTCCCCCTGCTCTTTCCTGACCTTGCGTCTTTCCCCACTGTCTCTGACCTCGCTGCCCACCTGCGCTCGATCGATGAGACCTGGCGCGCTGCCTGCACTGATGCACAGCTTAGAGTCCACCAGCCTCCCATGACCTCTACCCTCTACCTCCTTGCCACCCGCCTCCCTGACCGCCTTGCCGCCGCCCGCGACCAGTTCCTTAGCATCCACCCCGCTGCTCTCACCCTCACCGACTTTGTTGACACCCTGACTGTTATAGAGACTCGTCACCGCTCCATCGCCCAGGCGAGCGGTACAGTACCGGTCCCTATCTTTCAGGGTTGTGCCCCCGCTCAGTGTACCTTCTCCGACGGCTCTGTCGCTGTGGCTGAGACTGCTGCTGCAGTGCAGTCCCGCTCGGGGAAGGGCCGCCGCCCCAAGGTTGGGAGCGGCGGAGGCGGCGGGAGTGCGGGTGGGGGTGGTGGTGGAGTCGGGTCGTCCGGTGCCGGTGCGGACGTGGGGACCCTGCTCAGTCCAGCTGCCCTGCTGCCTCCACAGTCGCAGCAGCAGCAATCGCCGCAGCCGCAGCCTCCGCAGCAGCCGCAGCAGCCGCCGCAGACGAGGCAGGCGAGTGCTCTCCCGCCTGGGTGGCCTGGAGCTGGTGGTGGTCGTGCGCGTGGTGGTGCGCCGGGTGGTGGTTCTGGAGGCGGGCGCTGTCAGTACCAGATCCAGACCGGTCCTCGCCGCGGTTTCGTTTGCGGTAAGATCGGTCATTCCACTCCTCGCTGTTTTCGTCGTCTGGACGACCTGTTCCG